TGCATGACAATAATGTTTAAAATGGAAGAGGGGAACCAGGTCTGGCACACACCCGTCATCCCAGCACTCAGGAGGCAGAGGTGGGAAGATCAGGATTATAATATCATTCTTCTGTCTTTAAAAAAGCAAAGACAGGAAAGACAGGAGAAAGTGATCTAAAATTCTTACACTGTTTGAAAGGGAAGTCATAAATACTCTCTAACATTAAGCTGTGTTAAGTTAAATATTAATTAAGAGATTTCAGGAAGGAGATAAGAAAGTTCAAATTTCAAACAGTAGAGAATATATAGTAGAAAGGAAAGGAAATAAGAGAGAGAGAGAATGGCAGAAGCAGGGGAAAGAAAGTAATTCTAAAAAAAATAAAATAAAATCAGTAATTATAACATCTTGGACATAAAGCCAATCTCAAAAACAAGCGAGGAAAAACTAAGTGTCAGAACCAAAAGAAGGGAACTGAATGGATGCCAAAGCTTAGAACAGGCACCATAGATGCCCAACTGGGATCTAGATCTGGAAGCCTGGGTGTCAGCGTCTTGGTGTCTGAGTTATGCAGGAATGGAGGGTCAGGCTATAAATCCTGTAGGCAGGGCTCAGAGCTCTACAATAGTGCTGGTTAGTTTTATGTCAACTTAACACAAACTAGAGTTATCTGAACGGAGGGGACCACAACTGAGAAGATGCTTCCATAAGCTGCAGGGCATTTTCTTAATTAGTGATGGGGAGGGGAGCGGCCCATTGTGGCTGGTGGTGCTGAGTTCTATAAGAACGTAGGCTGAACATGAGCCAGTAAGCAGCACCCCTCCGTGGCCTCTACATCAGTTCTTAGCTACAGGAATCTACATTGAGTTCCTAATGGAGGTGTAAGCCAAATAAACCCTTTCCTCCCCAACTTGCTTTGAGCCATGCCTTTCGTCATAGCAATTATAACCCTAACTACAACAACAAGCAACAGGAGGAAAGTGTTGTATCTCTCCGTGAACTGATTTAGAATGGTAAACCCAGAAAACAAAACAAAACAAAAAACAAAAAAAAAAAAAAAAAAAACCAAACCAACTACTCCCTAACCTCACCAATAAGCGAAGGCCATGGAACCTTTATCCTGGCCTTGAAAGTATTCTCTAAAAGCAGTCTGAGAAAGTCTTTATAGTAAATCTAAGAACTAGTCAGAGTGTTTACCTAACACTTGGAATTTCACTGTGTTCAAAGTACAGGAAAATTGTGCTTGAGACTCCAATAAAATCAATAATAATAGTGAAACAACAATAAAAAGGGCTGAAATACAGACACTGAAAAGAAATGTGCAAAATCATATCCGCAGGTTATAGGATAGTTTATAGAGAAAACAGAAGCAATCTGTAGTTGTGAGAATTCATTAGGAAATGCATCAAGATTTCAAGGTACAAGACTAACATACAAAAATGTTTATGTTTCTTCTGCAACCAACATAAACAATGGTAGAAATAAGGAGAAAGACACTATTTATAATAGCAATGTAACAGAAAATATGCAAAGACATTCACAAAGGAAATTAGCTGACAGAGTTAGGTGAATAAGAGAAAGCATGTTCCTAAATCAAAACCCAATACCCAGGAAAAAGATAGAGGGGGAGACAACACTCTTCCATATCCCTACAGAGTTTAAAGAAAATCCTGTTACAACTAACGAGTGAGCCACAAGAGAAGGTCACAGTCAACAACAGAGAGTAAGAAAATATAAAAGTCAAAAATACTTAATGTTAGATTTACAAGGCCATCCAGGTCTACACGAGAAGTGAATCAGTCTAAAAGAGAAATAGAGCTCACAGCTTTAATCCCCAGCACTAATATATAAGATAGGAGCAGGGCATTAAGTATTTAGTCTTGGAAATTAGTTTCCAGCTTGTTATGGTACAGGACAGAGCTCTCTGGTAGCCTGGATGCTTTGCTTCTCTGATCTTCATTGCTTCATTAGTTCATAAACAATGTATCAACCACAATCATCTTACTTGAGCAGCATTTTATGACTTTTCCTTTTGTATTTTTATAGTAATTCCTCTATTCTTACACCTCCAACATATACTTTTCCTCTAAAGTATACCAGAAAGAAGGGGTAAAGAGGGAGGATAGAGAGGGTGAATAAGAATAAGGAGCAATGATACTTATGTATTAAAATGCCATGATTAAATTTGTTTTTTATGTATTTACTATTTAAACAATGTCATTACTTAGTACAACTGCTAACAAAACAATATTATTTATTTAAGTCTCCCCCTTACTCTGTGAATGTGTGTGTGAGTTCCTAAATATTTTCTTCATGCTATTGACTATTTCTTTTATTGCACAGAAAGTTCTTTCTTTCATGTAATCCTAAAGGTTTTTACTTTGTTGCAAGTTTTGGGATCTTATCCCAAAACATAGGTACACACAAACCTGTGTCTTCAAGTGTTTCCCCTTAGACTTTTGGACTTTTGTACAGCATGTCAGATGTGGATCTAGCACATCTAGTTATTGATATGATGGCTTTCCAATGTATTCTCTTGGTGTCTTTGACAGAAATATGTGGTTTTCCAGGTTCTCTACTAATGTTCTACTTGTCTCCTTGTCTTTTCTCAAGCCAATACCAGGCATTTTGTAGACAGCCTTAAAATCAGGTATTAACATGACTTCAGTTTTGTTCTTTTATTCAATAGTGTCATGTAGATTTTAAGATTTTTTTCTGATTCTATGAACATTATTATTGGTAAGGATTGAACTGAATCTGTAAACTGTCTTGGGTAGTATGTACACTTTAATAATAATTAGTAATAATAATAACAATAACAATAACAACTCTGTGATAGTTTGAATGAGAATGATCTCCACAGGCTCATATATTTGAGCCCTTGGTTCACAGTTGGTAGAACTGTTTTAGAAGGGTTGGAGAGGTGGCCTTGTTGAAGGGAGTGTGTATGTCACTGAGGGAGCCCAGGCTGAACCCATTCTCTCTCTTTCTTCCTCCATCTCCTACCACTTCCTCCTTCGCCATTCACCCTTCCCCTCCCTCTGCCTCTTGCCTGTGGATTAGATATAATCTAATCCTGCCTGCCTGCTGCCACGCTTCCGGCCACGATCATAGACTCATAGAAATTGTAAGCAAAGCCTCAATTAAATGCTTTTTTTGATAAGCATAGTACAGAGTACATAGTACAGAGTACAGAGTACATAATACATAGTGTCTCTTCACAGGAACAGAAAATTAACTAGGGCATCTTCTGCTCCATAGATTACCTTTCCTTTCCTGACATCTTTCATTAGCATTTTCACACTTTTATTGCCAATACCTCTCATTCCCTTAATTCTATTTATTTAGAGCTCAAACAACTGGAGAGCAAAGAGTCCACCTTAAAAATGGGCAAATAAATGGGCTACATAGACATTTCTTTAAAAAGACACGAGGGGACTTCAGGTCTGGCTGAAAGAGCACCTGCTGCTCCTGCAGAGGACCTGGGTTCAGTTTCCAGCACCTGCGCAACAACTCATAACCACTGCCATAGCCCTCTTCTTACCCCTGCGAGCACCAGCTGTACATGTGGCATACACATACGCATGCAAGCAAAATACTCATATGTGTCAAATAAAATAAATATATCTAAAAATTTAAGACACAAATAACCAGCAAATATATGAACAAAAAGTCAGCATCATTAATCTTCAAGGGAATACAAATAAAAACCACAATTAGATATTATTGCAAAGGGATCTTAAAAGCCATATAGCAGCACTCTCACTTTTACTGTGATATTCCTTTAAAAATAATCTAGGATATAAAACCATCCATGGAAGAGTGAACACATAGAAATCATGTGATATGTATCAACAAAGGAATACTACTTATCCATAAAAAGAATGAAATCTTGTCATGTGTAAAGGTAGAGAGAAGTGCAGGCATCATGGTAAATAAAACAAATCAGACATAGACAAATAATGCATTTTTGCACTCATTTGTAGAAAGTGATAAATGAACCTCCAAGAAGATGGGAAAGGCAGTGAAGACAAAGGTTAGACAAGAGTCACCAAAATACAGCGATTAGAAGCAGAAATCGCTGCTTCTGTGCCCAGCACTGTAGGCAACTCTAATCTACAAGAATCCATGATACATAAAAATAACTAGAAGAGTAAAAAAAAAATAATTCATGTATGAGGAGAAGGAAATGCTAGTGGCATTTGTCTAGCTGCTATGCGTTTCATACTTGTATCAAATCATCAGGCCCTTCATAAGCACGCACAGATATTATGTTAATAAATAAAATTTAAAAACAATGTATCATGGGCACAAAAATGTAAGGGATTTTTCTACAATGAGTAGGGAAAACTTGCTATTAATTTCAGGGACCTTTAATTGTGTGTCCTTTAAAAAATTTTGTTTGTCCTATATAAAAATCTACATTTTATGTAACAAAAAGGTTTATAGTGTTAATTTGAGAAATGGAAGTATTGGTGTTTGTGTGCTGGATAGTTTTATGTCAACTTGGGAGGAGGGAACCTCAGCTGAGAAATGCTTCCATAAGATCTGTCTGTAAAGCATTTTCTTAATGAATGGTTGCTGGGAGAGGGCACTGTCCATTGTGGGTGGTACCATGCCTAGGTTGGTGGTGCTGGGCTCTATAAATAAAGCAGGTTGAGCAAACCGTAAGCAGCATCCGTCCATGGTCTCTGCATCAGCACCTGCCTGCAGGTTTCTACCCTGTTCGAATTTCTGTCCTGACTTCCTTCAGTGATGAACAGCAACATGAGAGTGTAAGCCAAATAAACCCTCTCCTCCTCTAAGTAACCCTAAGTAAGACAGTGTGTTACCTTGTGCTTTGCTTTTCTCAAGTTTTGGAAATTTCAAAAAGAGACAGGGAAATGAAAAGAATTCCTAGTAGCAGGTAGGAGAGAGCAGGAGTCCAGTCTCTCGACACTGTTGCAGGGGAAACAATCCAGTTCCCTGTCTTCATGGACCGTGTGGAGAGAGGCAGTGCCCACACTTTCCAGGCCTCTTACCATGTTCAGCTCTGACTCCAAGCTGCAGTTTCTCATGTGTGGGAACACTTTACTGTACTTGCTTGGGTAGGTGGATGCCAGTCCTTCACCTCCTCCAGGTTGCTGGCTGTCAGAAAGCCATCTTCTAGGTCAAAAGAATTTGTCAGCAGCAGAATCACCCTGCAGAGCAGACCATCATCTTAACATTTACCACTAAAAGGCCATTGGCTCTAAAGCCTGGGAGGAAGGCAGGCAGCCTCTTTCCTCTTCCCTCCTGCCCAGTGCAGAAGAGATGAGGACAGAAACTCCCTCCCAACAGGCTACCTCACATCTGGATAAGTGGCCTCCAGTGAGATTGGGTAGGATGCTGGAAGTATTCAATACTTCATAACCAGATTTGTACCCTTTGGTGGTGACAACACAAGAATGTGACTAATACCATGACCAACCACTTAGAATCACTTAAGCATATTTACTTATTTTCAGATAGGGCCTTACTATGCAACCTCGGCTGTCTTGGAATTTGTTGTGTAGACCAGGCTAGTCTCAAACTTAAGAGATTCACTTGCCTCCACCTCCAGATTGGTGAGATTAAAGACATGCACCACTACATTTGGCCTAGAACTATTAAGTTTAATTTTATATCACAGTACGAATTAAATGATCCACATGTATAATGATTTCCATTAATTTAAGTCCTAGTTTAGAGATGGCTACTCATGTAAGTGACTGGACATATTAGCATCTGTTTTGAGGGAAGCCAAAGACAGTAGATTCGGCTAGAGAGGCCTTGCTTACACTTGAGATGAAGACACTGGTGTGTTTTTGTTGTTGTTGTTGTTTGGTTTTGTTTGTGTTTTTTCCTGAACGCCCCTTTCTGCTAAGTGCAATGCCTACTGTAAACATCCCGTTCCCTGCAAGGCAGGCCTTCACTTTCTGGACCCTCAGTTTCTAGTGCTGGTAGAAGGCAGCAATTAGCAAGTCAAAGAAAGAGAACTGACCTTCACATTGCAGACCTCAATACTGGTGTCTTTAGTCTACTCCTTGACCTCTGGGAACCCAGTCTTTCCCAGTCTCCCTTCCAGCTCAGGGCTTTGGAGCCTTGCCTTCCCACTTGGGGTCCAAGGTTCTGAGGGACAGCTTAGACTCACTTGTTTAAGCAGTTTTCATAGTTGAAGGTGGCCTTGAAGCCATAGATGGAGAAGGTAGCGATGCTGGCAAATAGGGAGGTGGAGCTGTTGATGATGGACACAATGATGGCATGCTTCTGGCAGTTGTTGGAGGAGTCATTGTAGCTGGCAAAGGCAATCAGGCTGCCAAACCCCAAGCCCAGTGAGAAGAAGATCTGCATGGCTACATTGATCCAGGCCTTGGGGTTGGCTAGCTGTTTCATCTAGAATGTCAGTAGGGATAGGGCTGAGGAATCCTGAGCTCTAATCCCAAACTCTGCCCTCCCAGGAGATGGAGGCTCAGAGATGGGGAAGAAATTACTTCCAACTCACAGGTAGTCAGAATGACTTGGGGCTGGAGTCTAGGTCCCTGTCTCAGAATGTCTCCAGTGTATTTCCTGGCAGGTAAACTACTCAGCAATCTTCCTCTCATACCCTCTATAGCACCCTACCCATGGAGAGTGCAATTGAGTATTGCCTGGTCTAATAGTCCAAAACACATAAAACCTCTAAATCACCAGCCCGCTACAACACTGGTCTTAACACACAGAAACTTAGGTGGATGTGGAGTCAAGTTTGAGGTTACTCCAGTACTGACACTTTAGGCTTATGCAAAATGAGTGTCCGTTTTGAAAGGATACAGTCATCTGATTCCAGCCATTTGTTAAGCAAAGAATGTGCCCTACTCTAAATGCAATAACATCTAGACTGAAGAACACTGGCTAGGGTGACTGGAAAGAAAACATTAAGGAGGGGACCATAGCATTCCCTAGAGGGAAAGGGTCTAAGAAAATATGGGAGCAGATAAAGGAGATGACTGGAGAGATGCCCATGGTCCCTAGCTCAGTGAGGAGTCTGGACTGGACTTTAGGTGAGAACTGGAGCAGGAAGACCAGAAGGAAGGCACAGGCACTAGTCATCAGTGGTAGTGAGGGCTGCAGGACAGGGTACAGAGAATTTAACTTCCGGGATATTCTATAGTCTTTGGCCAGTCATGGGCTCACACCAGCTCTGATTATTACAGATCTTACCCCCTTTCCCTTTCCTCCCAGGTATCAGAAAGGGACAGTCCCCTTCCCTTGCAGCCCATATCTTGGGTGTGAACATGTACATCAGGCCATTGGTGGCTCTGTGGAGTGTGAGGCCATGGACCAGGTAGATGATCAGTACACAGTAGGGCATAGATGCGGTGAAGTAGACCACCTGTGGGCATCCAGGAACAGAATAAGACTGCTGGAGAGATGGGGACAGCCACTCCCACAAACACCTTACCTCTTTGGCTTTTAGGCTCCATCCACAGCTGCTAAGAGCTGTGAGTAGCTGTGAGAGGCAACAGGTACCCAGTTTCTCTTTTCCACACTCCCCCAGCCCCTGTTTCTCTAAGAAAGGCTGAAAGACTGGAAGAGCCCACACAACACGTTTTTTTTGTTTTTTGGGGGGTTTTTTGTTTGTTTGTTTGTTTGTTTTTCAGCCAGATTTGACTCAGCTTTCTGAGGGCCCAAGAAAATCAGAAAGACTAATCACTTACAGGGTCTATGTTATCTCCGAAGGGAAATTAGTGTCTTGTGGGGCAGAACTGGGTTTTCAGGATGGGATCCAAGGGAAGCCTGGTTAGGAATGTCCATATGTAGAAAGCAGTGCACAAGGCAAAGTCCCCACAATAAATGCAACAAATGTACTGAAGGGATTTTGTGCATTCTTCAAAAAAAAAAAAAAGGCTACTTGGTTAAGCCAATCTTCTTCCCCTGTTAACATGCATCACAATTTAAGGATGTGTTCTTAGTCTCTTTGGCAGGGGAATCTCAGACTCGGGGTCACCCTGACTTCTAAAAGCCTGAAAGTAAGGGCTTTCAGATGCACGTCTGCCTAGCATGGGTGGGAAATTTTGTGTAACTCACTTCCTATGTATGCCTAGATTCATAGACAAAAACAAAATGAAACAAAACTTTTCACAAGGTTGGTTTTGTTTTATCAATCTTCTTTTAGGTTGGGTCCACCTCTGAGAAACACAGCTAGTGACCCATGTCTTGATATGCTTGAATTAATCTCAGTCTTCCATTTCTTCCTTGGCATGGCACCATATTTCATGAACTTCTAAGACTGTCAGAAGGACACTGAGCAGAATGTGGAGTATATGTTTACCATGGCTTCTTACACATTTAGGGGGCTAGTAAATATACCCAAATATCTAATATGTCAAACCAGGTGAAAGAAATTCAGGGGCATGGGGGAGGGCTGATCCCAGTCCATAACACTGGGCACTTTGAAGACATTCAGGGAAAGCTCTGGACTTCCCCCCTACCCTGCCAGTGGGCCATGTTTCTTATGGGCTTTCTAGAGTCCTCAAAAAGTGGATTCCTTCTTTTTCTTGTGGGAAGGATGGCTGGACATGTGATCTAGTTTTAGCTTAACCTATCAGGAGAAATAACTCTGAGAAGTAAGTAAAACTTCCGAGGAGAATAAAAGAGATTTCAAACAAAAAGGAAAAGGCAGCATCTTTCTTTCCCCATACATGGAACCCTGGGGCATTTCCGTCAGGGTGAGGGTCATAGTATCAGCAGAGAAAATAGATGGTGAGGATTAATATGGCATCATGTCCAGACTCTACTTATTTTCACAACTATAAGAGGCATGGAGAGGAAAGGACTGCTTTAATAGTCAAGGGTACAGACATCGCCCTTAGATCTTTTGGATCATGCTTGGTCTAGGTTGGGACAGAGCAGATGCTGCAAGGTCTGAGCTCAGCTGAGAAAGAACACCCTGATTCTTCTGCTCAGCTGTGAGGCAAAGTGCTGGCCATTATGGGGACTTAGAAACCAATGTGAAATGTCATGCCAGGCACAACATTGGGGTTGTCATGCAATATCTCAATGACATAGTTCGTTCTAAACTTGATGCCTCATGAAAGAACAAAACCAAACAAACATGTCAGTGCTGGAGAAGGCAGTCAGGTGATCAGGAGAGTGAGATCTAGGGGTCTCATGGGATTCTCAGAAGAAGAAAATTGTAAATGACTAAGTCACAAAAGATGTGAAGAGATCATTCATGCTGCATGTCACCAATAGGATGGGAAGAGCTTGGAGTAAATCTGGACTATGTCCTGAGTCTGCTGTCCCTGGCTGTGATTTTGGGAAGACTACTTTGCCTATCTAAGCCTTTTGGGAGCGACCTCATATATCTACTCTGAGGGGTTGTTACAAGAATAAGACACCGTGATCAACTATGGATTTGCTTTGCCTAGTAGCTGAGTATGGAGCATTCACCCCAGCTTAAAACAGGTACGGGTGATGGAAATACAGCAGATACTACAGCTCTAGGATGAATGGAAACGTGAGCATTTCAACAGAAAGAAAGAGCTTAGGCAAATAAAAGGCCTATGCTGGGTATTTTGGCATATCTGTGGCCTAAAATCCCACACTCAGAAGGCTGAGTCAGGAGGATCACTGTGAGTTTGAGGCCAACTTGGGCTGTTCAGCCAGTTTCAAGCCAGCCTGAAGTACATAAGGAGACACTTTAAAAATAAAATCCAAACAAAAACTAAAACCCCATACCACACAACAAAACAAAAAAACAAAAAAAAAAAAAACCAAAAAAAAAAAAAAAAAAAAAAAAAAAAAAACAAGGGAGAACCCAACAGTTCTGGGTAGTATTGATTTCCTGAAAGCACTTTGAAATGGGACCCCAAATCTAACTACACAATAAAGTCACCAGAGGCTGGCTAGTCTGCTGTTGAGGTTCCCTCCACAGAATAATAGCTCTGGCATTTGAGGGGGAAGGACTGAATAGTAGGGTGTTTGAAGATCTCCATAAAATGCCCTGGTACAGGTGAGTGTGAGAGCTGGCTGGGGCATGTCATTTCAGATTCAGTGTCATTTCAGATTCAGTGCCATTTCAGATTCAGTGTCATTTCAGATTCACTTTAATCACTTCTGACATCCTCCACTGTCAACTAGTACAGGGACATGCCAATAACACCATCCATGCCTTCTGACCCACTGACCCACTGAGCCTCTACTCTGGATGGCAAGAGACAGCTCCTAGCATGGACCAGATTCAGTCCCATCACACTCCCTAGCACACCTTGCCGGTCGACTCAGTGCCCCTCAGGATGAACAGATACACCATCAGCCAGGCCAGGATGAGGCATAGTGCTGGCTCCCACTGCACTCCTCCATTCTCCTGGATGGATGGTGAGATGTTGAGTGTTTTCCTGTACTCTGGGACTGTGTCAAGAAACCTTTTCATACTCCTTGTTGTAGCCTGTGCTGTTACCATTCAGCTGGCAGACAGACCACGGCAGAGGATCCTTTGGAATGAAGTGAGAATCAACAGAGAGTCAAGGGGAAGGTCAAGGGCTTGGTGGGATGATAGGAAGTGGCTTTGACAGGAGGCTTCACACATTGTCCTGTAAATATGGGCTAGCCTGGCTTGTGTAAAACAACAAAGTACAGTGGATCAGAGGCTTCCTGGCCTAGACTTTCCAGATCCTTGTAGCTACCCTGTTCAAAACCAGTTGTAGGGCTAGAGAGATGGCTCACTAGTTAAGGGTACTGGCTGTTTTTCCCCAGGTTAGAGTCCCATTACCCATAGGATGGCTCCCTATCTGTAACTCTTCATGGGCACCTATCGTGGTTTAATAAGGATCAGGATAAACAAATAGGCCAAATAGATGTTTATTCAGGGAGAAATAACTTACAACCTAGACAGATGAACACCAGGAAATTCAACCCGATGCTCTCCTGTCCGAGTCATGCCAGCAAGAGCTTTTCCTGTCTCTCCCTCCAACTTCCTTCCACAGGTCACTTCCGACCATGGCTCCACCCCCAATGGGCGTGGGCAGTGCCACAGAAGGACTATCTCACTACAATTCCCCTTTTAGTCTAAAGAAAAGATTTTGGCTTAATACAAAACTATATACAAAACAGTGAATAACAAGTGTGCTCTAAGAAAAGGAAAATCGAGAACAAAATGACCTACATATCTAGTCCTAGGGTGAAGGCATAATGGAGTTTACAATAGAGTTGTCCTAAGCTGGAAAACGTAAGTCTAGTACCTAATATATCTAACTAGGAAGAGAGAATAATAGTTGTGATAGTTTAATCTTCAACCTCATCAAGACCTGAGAAGGAAAATAACGATACTAGAGTAGACAGGAAGTGCGGATGGACAACTTCCAAAAGGTGCAGCAAGGACAGAAACAGCAAGCCACCTGAACAGTCACCCTAGGTCTCACAGCAATGTTGGTACACCCAGTTTTGGCTAAGGCCAAGAGAATTTGACAGACCACAACAACAGCAGGGAGGTAGAATGGCTGTCTTACCCTGACTTGGCAAGGTCAAGCAGTCTTCTATATTTGTCTCCTGCAAGCACATAGGACTGCATGTCCAAATCAGTGGTCAAGGTGGGGGCAATTCTTTGCCCAACAGGCCATTAGCTGAGGCGAGAATAAACTCCAGCAGGAGCAACAACAGTGTCCAACATATATTCGGGAAAGTGCACGGTGCTGTCAGGAGCAACAGTGCCTCATGTCAATGGAGTACTAATATTAAAACATTTAAATTCCATGTTCTGCATGTCTATGAAGTGATTGAAGATTAAGCATCTATATCTGACTAATCTCATAGGTACAGAAAACATGAGTGAAGATAATCTGTAATACTCAGGAACTTAGCTAAAAAAAAAAACTGATTAAAACTTCCCTGAGTAAAGCAGGAACAAATACTTAAACAATATAACTATATACATATACATACATATAAATCCCTAAAATAGAGGTAGAGTAGAAATGTCAAGACAAGAGGTAGAACTATAAAGGGCAGCAAGATAAATATCCCAAATTGTATCAATATACAAATGTCTTGAATACAAGAAAAGTATACATACATAGAATATGGTAAAAAATAATGTGCATAAAACATCGTAAGTGGAACGATTTCACACAATATAACAAAATATAAACTTAATTTTACATAGCTTACCACATATAAGAATACATAACAATGTAAGCTGTAAAATACTATCTCATTCTTACTCAAATTCACAAGAAAATAGGCCAATCTACCTATATCCCATCTAAACCATGCCTTTCCCAACCATTCCCTATTACTGTCTAAAAGATAAACCTGAGTGTAAGCATCACCTTCCATACCCAACCCTAAATAACTAAAACCAATCCAAAGACGATGACTATTATCCCAAATTCCAAGGATAGGGAAAGGGGACAGGGTTATCTTAAGGTTACTTCCTGCTGAAATGGGACGATGATTGCTCCAATGGATCCTGTAGGAAGAAAATTTTTAGCAACCAAATTTCTCAACAGAACTGGCTGTAACATATGTAGCTAGTCACTGTGTGGCAGAAAATTCTTGACTGTAGTTGTATCTGAAACTCTGGCCAGGGTGTAATCAAAAAGGGCACCATTACAGCTTAGCTAGTCATGAGTTGTCTTGAGCAAAACAGTCTCAAACCAGTTTTAGGGTGATGTTTGTAGTTTAGCTGCATCAGGTTGAGTCAAGTGGAAACGATGATGTGGGGCCCCATCTTCTTTCTGGAGAGTGTAAAGACTGCTGTTAGGAATCGTAATTATTCTTTGTGGAAAAGTTACACATCAATATTAAAGTAAAATTTTCAAGTTTTAAGGTATGCATTAGGGAAAGACAACAATAAGCATTAAAAAGTATGTGAGAAAATTAGGATTTCAGAGAGAAAATTGCATATAAGAAATGAGTCCCAAAATCCGGGCCCCTGCCAAAGAACGAGGTCTCAGCTGGAGAGTGCCAGTTTCCAGTGAGATCCCACTACCCTGCAAAACCTACTCAAGTTCCAGCCCAGCCCTCTTCCTCTTCTGCCAGCTATTGGCCAGAGGTGAGTCTGGGCCCAATTGGGGCTGCCTGTCCCCTTCAACCTCTTTCCCCCCCCCCCGCCTGAACTCCCTGGATTGGCCCCTGATCCTGCTGCTCCTGTCTCCGGTCCCCATTGAGAGCACCCTTGGAGCTCTGATACACCCCCACCCATCCCAACCTCCAGCCTACCCCCCCCCACCCTGTGCCCTACCCCACCTATGGTCCTGCCGCTCTGGTTGAGCACTGGGACAGAGGGTGGAGCCAACAGTCCACCCTACTTCGGAGACCTCTCGGAGCAACTCCGAACAAAGGAGACCTGACTATCCACTCGGGACCACCTGTAATTTCCACCGGCTTGGTCTCTGACCCCGCCTCCAGTCCTGTGCTGGAGTCCCGGGCCCCTCCCAGAGATCCGACTATCTCTGCAGGTCCACTCGGAGTTCCTGCGGGCAAGATCCTTGACCCCCAAATCCGGGCTCCTGCCAAAGAACGAGGTCTCAGCTGGAGAGCGCCAGTTTCCAGTGAGATCCCACCACCCTGCAAAACCTTCTCAAGTTCAAGCTCAGCCCTCGTCCTCGTCTGCCAGTCATTGGCCAGAGCTATTGGCCAGAGCTATTGGCCAGAGGACCACTGTGAGTACCTGCTGGCATCTTCTTCTGGATCCTCATCCTTGACCCCATCCCTGGATCCCTATCTGCGGAGAAACCTCCTAGAGAGCTTGGACCACACAGAGCTACAGATATTGAATCTTTGATCCGCATAAGCCCATCGGGGAAGGACCATAGAGAGAGGGAAGAGACACCACCAACACCTACTGGAAGAAACTATGGGAAGAAGGCAATACAAGAGAACACCTAACAACAGAAAGACAAACATGACACCACCAGAATCTAGGGAATCTACACCAACTAGAATGGAACACAACAACAAAGCAGAGGAAGCAAAAGGGTACGACTTAAAAATCACCATCATAAAAATGATACAGGCCCTCAAAGAAGATATGAGAAAATCCCTTAAAGAAATGGAGGAAAAAACAAACAAAAAAGTGGAAGAAATGAACAAATTCCTTAAGGAAAGTACAGAAAGCCAAGAAAAAACAATTAACCAGGTGAAGGAAACGGTTCAAGACTTGAAAACCGAAATTGAGAAAATAAAGGCAACACAAATGGAAGGAAAGCTGGAAATTGAAAAGCTGGGCAAAAAATCGGAAACCACGGACACAAGCATAACCAATAGAATTCAAGAGATGGAAGAGAGAATCTCAGGCGCAGAAGATAAACTAGAAGAAATAGTTTCATCGACGAAAGAAAACCATAAATCCAACAAATCCTTAACACAAAACATCCAGGAAATGTGGGACACCATGAAAAGGCCAAACCTAAGAATAATAGGCATAGAGGAAGGTGAGGAAGCCCAGCTCAAAGGTGCTGAAAACATATTCAACAAAATCATCGAGGAAAACTTTCCAAATCTGAAGAAGGACATGCCCATGAAAGTACAAGAAGCATACCAAACCCCAAATAGGCTGGACCAAAGAAAAAAGACCCCTCGACATATAATAATCAAAACACCTAGCATACAGAATAAAGAAAGAATATTAAGAGCAGCGAAGGAAAAATGACAGGTAACATATAAAGGCAGACCTATCAAAATTACACCTGACTTCTCCATGGAAACCCTCAAGGCCAGAAGGTCCTGGATAGATGTTCTAAAAGTATTAAGAGAACACGGATGCCAGCCTAGGCTACTATATCCAGCAAAACTCTCAGTCAATATAGATGGAGAGAACAAGATATTCAATAACAAAACCAGATATTTTCCCAATATGTATCTACAAATCCAGCCCTACAGAAAGTATTGGAAGGAAAATTCCAACCCAAGGAAGGTAACTACGCCCACAAAAATGTAGGAAACAGATAATCCAACTACACCAGAAACCTAGGGTGAAGCAGAACAAATATATTCACAATACCACTGCCAACAACAAACCTAAATCAAACAAGCATCAACAATCAATGGACCTTACTCACCCTCAACATTAATGGTCTTAACTCACCTATAAAAAGACACAGGCTAACAGAATGGATACGAAGACAGAATCCATCCTTCTGCTGCATACAAGAAACACATCTTAGCTCCAAAGATAGACATTACCTCAGGGTAAAGGGTTGGGAAAAGATTTTCCAATCAAATGGAAATAAGAAGCAAGCAGGCGTAGCTATCCTAATATCAAACAAGTTAGACTTCAAACCAAAACTAGTCAAAAGAGATGAAGACGGTCATTTCATATTCATCTCAGGAGAAATCCATCAACACAAAGTCTCAATTCTGAACATCTATGCCCCTAATACAAAGTCACCCACATTCGTAAAACAAACACTACTAAAACTCAAAGCTCATATAAAACCTCACACACTTATAGTGGGAGACTTCAATACACCACTCTCAACACTAGACAGGACCA